GTGGCAAAGTTAACAGAAAGTTGATGAAAAGAAGTCAATTAATGGGTTCACCCACTCCAAAGAAAATGGTGGTAGCAGGTAAGAGCTCTCAGATATTGATAGACCTCACTTGGTTGTTTTTCTTTAAAATATTTTTTTACTTGGATTTCTTCCAAGGACATTTAAGATATAATGAGGTTCTTCCTCTCCAGTTTATCCACAGGATCAAGTCCAGTCTCTTTCCAGTAGAGGTGAGATGTGAATGATTGACTGGATGACACTATCTATTGGCATGGGGTTAATATCTTTAATGTATTGCTGATATTCATCTTTGCCCTGGGATATCCAAGTGATGCTATTGAGGTGCTTCCCCAGGCCCTGGAGGCTGGATGGACTTATATGGGAAAGAACCAACCTTGGCTCGATCTTAATAAGACTGAGTGGCTGTACATTTAAATTTTCCAGATCTAATGACTTTCCAAAATGAACCCCAAGCAGCATGTCAATGCTATTCACTGCTGGATAGCACTGATGTGCAATGCTGGGGTTCTCCTAGATTTACAGCTCCTCTTCAAGAAGTGGGTGGCAGCTATGGCCCAGAGATCTTTCACACAAATATATCTTGTGTGCCAACAGCATCTATTCCTGCATCAGGAGGTCCTGCTCTTGGTTGTTCGTGCCTGAGCCACTTCTGAATCGGAGTATTGTAATGCAATCAATATGGGAATATCCACGGAGCATACTAAGAAGCTGTAGCAGGCTAAAAATGCAGCAATAGACAATTTTGGGATGCATTGTGGAAACACCATCATACGAGCTTCCTATAAACTTTTGACTGCAATTCAAGGTGCAGGTTGTCAGTTTTAAAGCCCTAGATGGTTATTTGTGGGACTACCTCCCACAGTGATTTCTGCCTATTTCATCCAATCTGACAGACTGGGCATGTTCCATGCAAGACAATGCAAGACAATGGCACCTGGTGAACCCAGGAAGCAAACCTTTCTTGTCATAATGCCTGTCCAATAGAAGAGCCTCTCACCCCTCCAAAGATTTACTACTGGCGTTTTGGAAGACTGTACAGACCTGGCATTCCTCCTGATATGGGTTTTATAGAATTGGTGGTTACAAAGATTCTATTGTGACTTGCTTTATTTTGGTTTGGTTTTAATGGAAAGCTTTGCTTTTTCCCACTTTTGTTTGTCATCCAGAACTTTCTTGGCCAGACATGTAAATTGGATAAATAAGTCATATAGTCTGCATTTTCCCCCATATTAGTTTACATTCACTGCAAGAAAAAGAATTAGCTTTTAGCACACACACACACACACCAGGAATAAGTAGAGTATATTTCTTCTATATATTCTGTGGCCAAGGGAGACAGGTAAACATTTTGTCTTGTGATCTGCAGCCTCTTTGGCTTCCCCTACTTCCATTTCCTCCTTAGAGAAAGCCAAGGCAGGAACTCTTCCAAGCAGACTTGATGCTACTATGTTTCAGAAATCCATGGACAATGACCCCTTTCTTGGAGAAGTTAGTCCAATTATCCATTCAGTTCCCTAAATCCCCAAACGTGAATTTGCCAGTAGAGAAACAGCCCGGTTTCAATGAAATAACTAAAACTTCACTGCTTCTTCTCAGGATATGACTAGATCAGCTATAGACAGGGGTGTCCATGGGGGATAGGGAAACAAAAAAGATGGCAGCCATCTTGCTTGTTAGCTTCCACCATGACTTTGTTGACCTTCCCTCTTGATGGCCCTGTCTGAAGGCCAAAAGCTGCTGGTACCACCAGCCCCCTTTTTATGGCTCTGTAAAGAGATGGAAGGCAATGGAGAGTTAGGTGGCTGTTTATTTTTCCTAGCTAGATGGAAAGGCAGGCTTGGTATCTGCTTTCTTCTTGGATCATGGGCTTTGGAGTCCTCCTCCAGCTAGGAGGATGAGAACCTTCTTAGATTGACACTCGCCAGGAAAGGAGAGAGCTCCATAGACTTCCTCTGTAACATCAGTTGTACACTGTGGTTGTTCTTTCCAAGGTTAATATATTCTTCTCTGCAGAAGAAAAGAACAAGGGGTTGCAGGGGGATTTGAGGGTGTCAGCAGAAGAGAGATGGAGTGCCTTTTTCCAAAGTTTGCAACCATTTGAGCAGGGCTCCTTACATGCTTGGACAGCTCCACAATTAAATTCCACTGGATCTAGTGGGGTTTAGTGCTGAGTAAACCATCACAGATTGTACTAACTTCTGCTTTGGGAATACTGACAGGCAGAAATTCCAGGCAACTGAGGTTCCATAGCTGCCACGGAGATGTAGCTTAGTTGAACTTGCAAAGTGTAGAGAGAGCTGTAGTCCTATCTCTCATTAGAAATATTCCTAAACCGAAGGGAAAACAAATGAAACCCGCTTTTTTCTGCAAAATACCGTCTATCTCACTCAATGCCAGAACTGATTAGAGCTAGCCCTCAACTTACAACAGTTCACTTATTGTCCCTAAATGAACAACAGACATTTAGTGACTGTTGAAGAAGAATGCCATTGTTCAAAGAAACAACGGCACTGAAAAAAAAAGGGACTTATGGCCAGTTTTCACACTTGTGACCATTTCACCATCCCCTTGGTCACATGACTTACATTCAGATGCTTGATAACTGACTCACATTTATAATGATTGCAGTATCTCCTTTTGCCACCTTCTGACAAGCAAAGTCAATGGGGGAAACCAGATTCAATTAACAACCATATTACTAATTTAACAACTGCAGTGATTTACTTAACAAACGTGGCAAGAAAAGATGTAAAAGAAGACAAATTTCACTTCTCACTTAGCAACATACACTTTGGATTCAATTGTGGTTGTAAGTTGAGGATTTCCTGTACTTCTTAGTTTCCTTCCCGTTGCAAAAAGGGCTTCCATTTTTCTACCTTGTTTCCAGAAACTTCTTGACAATACATAGTCCATTTCACAAGATGAGGTCTTCGGAATATATTGAGGGGAGGGTAGCAGGCCTAAAACTGGCTAAGTGGCTTTTGTCTTAAGCATCCATCTTTCCACTCCTTAGTTTTACCTGTACGTTCCCTCTATGAAATATTCCCTGGAACTTTTTCTGTTGCTTTGTCTTTCTTTGGGATTGAACACAAACAGGGAACGAGCCAAAGAAGGATCAGATAGGGTAATGAGAAGGATGTTATGCCCAACTTGGAAAAGCAACCCATCAGACAATTACATTCCACAAGACGAGAATGTCCCTGAGATTGTCTTCTCCTTTGAAAGAGTTTTGGAGGCAGTTTCGCTTTTATAAATTGAATGAAATCTAATAGGAAAAGAATGCAAGCGAATTCTCCTGCCCCAGTAGAAATTTTAGCTGAGTTGATCAGCCACCTCTCTAAAATTATTTGAAACTTCTTTTGAACCTTGTTGATTGATGCTTGAGGCCCAAAGAACACTCCCAAGCTTCATGTTCTTCAAGGGAAAAGATCCTACATTTTAAAAAAGATGTATGTTCTCATTCAACCTGGATCAATTTTATTCAGATAGTTGAAATTTACCATCTGAGTCCCCCAAATATACCTCATGCTGTTAAAAATAAATAAATTCAGCCACTCGCTTTCAAGTTGGCATCAACTTTTAGTGACCGCCAGATCACTGTTTCTTAACACTGGAAACTTTAAGAGGTGTAGATTTCAACTCCCAGAATTTCCAATGATGACTGGGGAATTCTGGGAATTGAAGTCTGCACATTTTAAAGTTGCCAAGGTTGAGAAATACTGACCCTGATTTTTCTCAAGGATGAAAGGAAGACTTACTACATTTTTAAAAGGCACAAGTTCTTGGATTTATATTTCATTTTGTACAGGTATGGTTTCTTCACTGTAGTGACTCCTCGTTAATTCAAAGATGATGACAATAGTAGCAGACAATGCATTGAGTGGTTTTTTTTTTTCCTTTTTATTTCCAACAAATACAGCACCCGCCTGGCCTGGGATATATAGGAAGTAGGGTTGAGGATGAACAGAAGACTTGGGCAGGTGGGAAGACAGGGTTTTTTGTTTGTTTGTGTGTGTGTGTGTGTGTGTGTGTGTGTACCAGGGAGGGGAGGAGCAAGGTTTTCTTTCCTGCTTCTATTTCCCAAGTGAGGTTTGCAATTGGAAAAGGGAGGAAATGTCCGGTGATGACTTTTATCCCAGAATACTGTTAGGGCACACAGTGCATGGTGTAAGGATATATCCAGATTTTTAAAAAAGAAACAAAAGTAAAAAAGAAAGGAAGGAAGGAAGGAAGGAAGGAAGGAAGGAAGGAAGGAAGGAAGGAAG